TAACCCTCCTGCTTGCTTCCCTCTGTGAGACATGTCATTTCCTTGGACACTTCCAGCCCAGACCTTGGTTAGCCATGGACAGACCTTTGCCACAGCACGACTTTGAGGGGATGTTCCTGCTGCCTGCCCCTCTCCCCGTCCCTTACAACCATAGGCCCAACAGGGAGATACACAATGTTTGAGAGAAAAAAGCAAGGCTGATTTAATCCCGTGGAGACTGGTACCAGAGCTGGTTCAAGTGACACACGAGTGAAGACAAGAGAAGCAGATGGAAGGGTCCTGCATGACCACAATGGTCTCTTGACTATTAACTAGGGCAGGGGTGCCAAAGATACAGCCCATGGGCCAGATCCAGGCTGCAGAGCCATGTCCTCCAGGCCATGGAGTATGTAGCTATGTCATCTTGGCCTATGGGGTTGTTCATGGGGCCAGAAATTTGGTGGCAGGAGCAGCAGTGGCTGCCATGGGCCTGGGACCTGCAGCAATTAACACTGGTGCTGACAAATTTCTAACCGCATGGGCGAGATGACAGCTCCGTGCTCTGGATCCACCCCACAGACCAGCTCTGCATGACTTGTCCAGCTCATGGGGCCAGATAACACTCTGATCCAGGGAACTGAGCACCATTGCCAGAATCAGTCCCAACCCCAGATGAAGGGATGGGATCTGTGACTTAACTGAGCACGAGGCAAAGGGCACATCACTCAACAGCCACTTCAGATCAACAGCTGCCCCTACCCTAGTCTGCATCAATGCTAGAGTTCCCATGGACTTCATGGGAGCAGGATCGACCCAGTTATCGTGGTTCCCCTTGGAACCATTACAGTTGGCCCAGCTTTTTTACGCAAATTATATTTGTCACAAAAAATAAAAAAATTGTCTCAAAACGCTGGCTTGCATCCATAGATGCTTCTCAAGCAAATCCCGGGACGTCATTCTCCCCTTGTACTCGGCTTTAGTGAGGCCGCAGCTGGAGTACTGCGTCCAGTTTTGGGCTCCTCAATTCAAAAAGGATGTGGAGAAGCTTGAGAGAGTGCAGAGGAGAGGCATGATCACAGGTCATGCACATGATCAGATGCGCATGATCAGAGGTCAGGAAAACAGACTTTACGATGACAGGCTGAGAGCTGTGGGGCTCTTTAGCCTGGAAAAGCGCAGGATTAGGGGCGATCTGATGGCCACCTATAAATTTCTCAGGGGTGGCCACCAGTATCTGGGGGAACGTCTGTACACCAGAGCACCCCAAGGGATGATGAGGTCGAATGGTTATAAACTACTGCAAGACCATTTCAGGCTGGACATAAGGAAGAATTTCTTTACTGTCCGAGCCCCCCAAGGTCTGGAACAGCCTGCCACCGGAGGTGGTTCATGCACCTACATTGAACACCTTCAAGAGAAATTTGGATGCTTATCTTGCTGGGATCCTATGACCCCAGCTGACTTCCTGCCCTTTGGGCGGGGGGCTGGACTAGATGATCTTCCGAGGTCCCTTCCAGCCCTAATGTCTATGAAATCTATGAAAATGAAGTTCTGGGTTGACATCTCAAAGCATTATGAGGCCTGAAATGACTATTTTATTCTATTTCTTGTCTCTCAGATAAAACTGAAAATGCTCCCACTTGCCTTGCCCTCATGTATTTATTTACTTTTCTTTTCTCTTTCAGTTCAGATGGCAAACAGACAAATCCACCTGCATTTCCAGAGCTCTATCATGGCTCTATCAGGCCACCTAGCGGTGATGACTAGAATGGTGGTGAGAGGCAGGGCAGATTTGCACCTGATAGACCAGTGGTTCTCAAGCTTTTCAGCCTCCGGGCACCCCTCCATACACGCAAGGCAGCGCTTGGAAAATGCCAGCTCTTAGTTTTGATGCATCTTTTGACTACAGAAAAATAATAGAGCAATTCTTCTGTTGCAAAGAACGAGGTGCCCTAGTGCACTAGGCTACTGGTAGTGATTAGGATTTTGTGAGAGGCAGGGTAGTTTTGCACCTCCTGATACAACCTGGATGAGAATTGCTGTTATAGGCCCTCATGGCTACAGTATCACTCCAACATTTTTCTTGGAAGCCCAGAAATCCATCAAAAATGCTTTTTGGACCATCCCTCATCGTGTGGGATCAGCTCACAGGCTGTCACCTAGAGCCCCCTCCTATTTACTTCCCTAATGACCTGGTGCATCCCCCTAGTGATACAACCCAGCCTGGCTCTGTGGCTTTGTTTAGTCAAATCACCAAAAATAAGTCCTTGTGCTTCTGTCAAGGGGGTTAGTGATCACTCAACCTCCTGAGGACAAGGAACAAGGGCAAGGGCTAGGGTTAAAAGAGCTACATTATATCACAGATGGAAGAAGTATCTGTGAGCAAAATGCTCAAAGGGGGAAATCACATGTGTGGATGTATTTCTGGGGCTATGTGAGAATGGAAAGGCAAGGGGTTGATATCCAGAAATAATGCAAATAGACTAGGGTCTGCTAAGGACCAGCAGGGATGATGCTAGGGGAGCATTGCAACAGTAAAGCAGTGTCGGGGCCAAGGGCTGGAAGAGCTCACCTCAAGAGCAAAGGGCATGACCGATGATCTCACGAGGTCCCTTCCAGCCTTAAACTTCTGTGACTCTGTGAGGGGAGCAGCAGCAACCCTGTGTCTGGAACTGCAGCATTGCACCAGAGCACTGATGTTTAAGAAGTCCACGCATGGGGCTGTGCAGTCCAGAACTGGGGCTCACTGAATTGCAGGGTGGCAGTATCTGGGAGTGCTACTAAGTTGAGGTCCATGGCAGAGCAGAGCACACTAGGGATCAGGAAGTGGGCAGGTTGGAGCCAAGGTCATTATCACAGCCAGGGCTTGGGAGGCACCTAAGCAGGGCCACCTACGCTATCCCTGCCTCCAGACCATGCCTTAGATCTTCCACTGTCATCAGCAGCCTCAAGATTGCTTTCCTGATTTCATAATGAGGGACCGCACAGTGACGAACACATCACACACCCTACACCTCTGTTCTAAGGACAGTCTTTTAATAACCGTACAGACACAGCAGTCACATCTCACAAACTGGACATGTCAGAGCTGGGTGGTGAGAGCAGGACCTCCCAGTGCTGTCTGCCATAGCTGGTGGAGAAGGACAGGACAAACACATCTAGCAACATTTGAGTTGGGTACAAGACTAAGAAACTCAGACAACCTGCCTCCATGTAACCGTCAGCACATGGCATAGGCATTTCCATTCTGTATGGCACAGGACATGAGCAGGATGGTTGTCTGGACACTCACCCTTAGTATTTAATATGATTGGCACTTTGGGCCACAATGTCAATACCTTCTTGGACTCCCTACAAATACATGCTCACGTCACTCCATTGGGTGGATATAGCAAGCCAGGACCTTCAGGAGGCAATGGCAGTCCTCTGCTATAGTGCCAGACTGGAGCAATTATTTCACTGTATCAAGTGAGGCAGTGGCTACTGCCACTGCTGGGACTGGGGACGGCTGTGGGGCAGGGAGTGACAGAAACACAGGACTGGATTATCTTTTCAAAGGAGATTTTCACAAATGGGTTGGTTCGAAGGCCATTGCTGGAATAGGCCAGCAGGGAACAAAGCTGCAGGTGATAGGAGGCAGGGGTGGAGGGAGATCTTCGTCCTTCCAGGAAGCACCTAGGAGGAAAAGAAACAGCCTAATAGTAGCTTTGTGCAAAAAGGAAAGGGTTGTATTAGATTGAGTGTGCAAATTGTCAGGGCAGGACAGAGTATGACTATCCAGCAGCTGGAGCAGGGGAGGGATACCCCAGCTAGCTTTCATCTAGCAGCCTTGGATGGCAACTGTGAAGTTGCAACAGCCTGGACATGACTGTGAGCTGCGCCAGTTGAGTACACATCCATGACCCACATTGTACAGTCTTCCCTGAAGCCCATACCATGAGAGGCCCCTGCTATCATTACATCTCTTGAAGATTAGACTGGATATATTTATGGAAGAGACAGTGTGATATAACAGGGCATCCTGGCACACTGGTCCTTGTGTAAGGTGGAACCAGTGTTTGCGGTCCTCAAATTGGTGCCTTGAGTGTGGAAGGTCTCTGGTGACCCGATGCCTCAAGTCTTTTCCTGGCTGCCCAGAAGGGATTTTTTCCTCTCCCCTCATGAATTCTGCTGGCTTCTAGTGTCTTTCCCACCTTCCTCTGAATGTTTAGTGGGATGGTAGGGGAGTTTTGACTGAGGCTTCTGCCAGAAGCTATAATAAAGCCCAGAGGTTCCTGGCTAGGGGGTATTTCTCTTCTGTTTGGGCTCACACTGATCAGCAAATCCCAAATCAAGAAGAAATTTTTCCCCTAGGTCAGACTGGCATGGACAGTGAGGGTTTTCCTTCTTCTACAGCATAGGGCTTGGTCCTTTCCCTTGGATCTTCTGAGCACACATTAACCACCTACTTTTTCTGTCATTGGAGCGGCAGAGCATAGGCAGTGCCTTTGTCACCCCCTGCTTTTACCCATGGCATGTGATGGGGTGTTCTCCATGGCCCGGAAGGCTCCTTCCAGTCTTACGTTCCTAGGTCCCTGTTACCTGTGCTCACTAGATTTAAGCCAGCATGACTAAATCTGCTAATGCTGGTTATGCCTCCCCTGTGTAGATACAACCTTTGGTCAGCAGGGGCTTTAACTTAAAAATGAGAAGTTAAAGCAAATAACTCCAAAGGATGGACTCAAACCAGAAAAGCCATCCCCCTGTGAGGCAGGGTTTACCACCAGGGGTTTGGGCCATGTATTGCAGTCTAGGTGAGCGGGGTGTCTGGTGCGGGATCCTGCCCAAAGGCAAGTTGAGGCAGCGCATGATGCGACTGCAGCCTCCAAACAGAAGCACGGAGCAGCACTGGCAGGCACCCAGGTACAATTTATTGCTTTATCTCATAGCACAGATCACCAGGTGCAGTGAATTCAGCCCCACCCTCAAATTCCTTCTAGCATGAACGCAGGGGCTCTGCATTGGGAAGGGGGACTAGACAGTTCTTAATCATCTCAGGTGCCCCCCTGCCTGGCCTACTGCTCACTGGGGCTCAGCCCTTCTTGCTGGGCAGGGATAGTGACTTTTGCCTGTAGTGCAGGGGAAACTATGCCTTAGGATCACCAAATCATGGAAAAGCAGGGCTAGGAGGGCCCTCCAGAGGCCATCTAATCTAACCCCATTTGAGGCAGAATCATCCCTATCCAAAACACCCCATAAAATCCAGTATCTAGCAAATTAGTAAAACTACACAGTCAACCCAGACCCAGCCAGAAAGCCCAGAAACCTGCCACAGATAAGGCTGGGAGACAACAATAGGCAATGTCCTGCTGCTGTGAGGGCTGTTAAAATATGCTCAAGAGATCCAAGGAAGAGGACCACATGTCCCCACTGCTACAGAGGAAGGCAACCCCTCAGTCTGCAACAACCTGGCCATAGGGTAAAATGCATTCCTGACCCCAAATGTGGAGAAGAGGCAAGACCCTCTAGCCAAGAACCTCCAACTTCTAGTCCCAGAAGGACCATGGGCCTTCCACGGTCAAGATCCCTTTTCTCAGCTGCAGCCAACACCCAATGTTTCTAAGGAAGGTGAAATGCACCCCCTACCCCCAACCCTTGTCGCAACACAAGTGGGAAAAATTCCTTCCTGTCCCCATATGGCAACCAGCAAAGCCCAGAAGCATGGGAAATACCCATAGGAGAACATAGGCACACCAACTCCTAGATCATCCCTGACCAAAGCTTGTCCAACCTCTTCTTGAAGACCTCCAATGGGTTCCCTCCTGAAGGAAAGTATTTTGGCCTCTTACAGAATAGATCTAGGGTTTTTGCCTCTGATCCCAACGGCCAGGTCAGCAATCAGAAAGGGTCACTGCACCCACTCAGCTCACAGCCACAGGACAAAATGCTTCCTAAACCCAAAGCCTAGGGACTAACCAGCCACTGGGTTAGTCTTCCAAGAACAAGAATCAAAGCAAAACTGTAACTAAAGGGGGGATTCCAGGCTGGAGGCACTGCCTGTGCACCATTTTGTTGAGAGGAGCAGATGACATGAGAGAAAAGGAGAGAGCAGGACGACAGGGAAGAGCACAGTACCTCTCACTGGCCTGTTGGAGACTTGGCAGCATCAAACATCTTCTTCCTACCCTCCATGCCAGACATGGCCTCCACGTTCTTACGCCAGTCACCCACTTCCACTGGACGTTCCTGCAGGGAGAGGCAGACTTGGGGTCACAACAGAACTGGGCTTAGGGGAGCTTGGGACTGAGCCATTGAATCTGTACCTCTGCACATCAATTATACATGAGCTGCATGTTCAGGCTGTGGGATCATGGGTCCAAATTGCTGCAGTAGCCCCAGGCAGCACATTGTGTGGGGGCAACAAGCAATAAAACGATCCAGTCTCAATGATACCTTTTCCTTATAAATCAAATAATCAATAGGATGTACCATCTCCTTCAACCTGCTCTACCCAAGGAGAGCCCTTGGGGGTGTTGTGGAGTTATGATTTTGGAACCCAGGATGGCCCTTAACATGAATATAGACTGGAGATAGCTGGGAAAGCAGGAATAAAGTCCCAAGCCTGGGAAGTACTTAAGCACTTTGACTTGCTGTGCTTGGGAGCCAGGGGCATGTGGCATCTTGCATAGGCAGCCCTGCCCTTGCAGAACCAGGCCCTTGGAGTCCATCAGCTCCTGCCAGCATTGTTCTTCATGGAGGTTTGGATAAGGGCAAAGTACTGTCATTAGCGCAGAGCAGGCTATATGCCAACAGCTTACTCTTGGCTGCAGCTGAAAGGACTGGATAATGTTATCAGAAGGAATAGCAAAGTAGGTAAGGATTATGGCCATGGAAACTTCTGCTTCAGGGCATAAAGTGGTCACTCAAGGGTCAGGAAGGGAACACACCCATCATGTGTATCATCATCTGAATCATCAGGTCCATCTCCTTATTGTAAGCCATCCTGGGCTGGCCTTTGCCATAGGATGGGTGTTGGATTAGTCAAATCAAGAGTTTAATCCAATATACAAATCCTAGAACTAGCTTTCATCCCATGTATCTGGTATTGGCAACGGGGGATGACATGGTTGGGGACCTCCAGATCGGTAGCCATCTGGGGGACAGTGATCACCTAATAATAGAATTCACCATAAGGCATCGAGTGGGTAAGGTAACTAGTAGGGTGAAAGTGCTAGACTTTAGGAAAGCTGATTTCAATGAACTCAGGCGATTAGTCAAGGACGCACTGCAGAGTAGGAGTTTTGAAGTGATGGGAGCCCAAGAAGGGTGGCTATGCCTTAAGGAAATGATCCTTCGGGCACAAAGCGAGACGATCCCCGAGCGAGGCAAAAGGGGGAAAGGGGCCAGGAGGCTTCCCTGGCTGACCAGAGAAATCCAGGGCAGCCTAAGGGACAAAAGGGGAGCACATAAAAAGTGGAAACAGGGAGAGATCACCAAAGATGAATATACCTCCTCTGCTCGTGCTTGTAGGAAGGCAGTTAGACGGGCCAAAGCTGCCATGGAGCTGAGGATGGCAACCCAAGTAAAAGACAACAAGAAATTGTTTTTTAGATATATAGGGAGTAAAAAGAAGGCCCAGG